CCCTGTATAAACCGGACAAATAGTTTGGTCCCGGTGACATCCGGTTTAGACAGGTTATACTGTATGTATTTTTGACTGCTTAATCAAAAGCAATGCTTAAAAAGAACAATTTCACAAGATCAGGTTGTTGATGGAAAAAAAGGTGATTGTTATGTGATTGAGCTTTTTTCTTTTGTAGGAGATTGTCTAACGTCTCGGACAGTCACCTGGTCAGGGTTTTCGAATGCGTGGAGTCTAACTCTAGATGGATGACTTAGCAACGGAAATATTTGGAACTCGGTTGGTTTAGTCATTTCTCGACTTCGAACTGTCACTTCTTTGACAATGCATTTAATTCCAAATACAGACATGAATCTGACACGAGTTTGGCTTTACAGCATCATGATTGGGACGTCAGGCCTGTGCGGTCGGGCTTGATGGACCAATGGACCGCCATGTGTGCTGTTCTGCTCTGTAAATCTTGTGCTGGAGGATTGTTTGTGTCTGGACTTCCATACATTGTGAAAGAATTGACAAAACTAGTTGGGACGTGACTAAATCCTCTTGAGGCTTCATCTATCTTCTTTGCTGGGAAGTCTGTCTATTGTCAAGATGACACAAGTTTGAAAAATCCTGACCTCAGGACGGAAAGATTGCCCCATAAAAAAACAAGGTAAGTGTACGCAGCTTGACACTAAAATAAAACAGCTAGATTTACTTTCCTTTGCAATGAAAGAAAGTTTAACAAAGTTCTACTGGAATCGGGCTGTCTGTCAATCTGCAAGCTGTTTCAAGGAAAAAGCTACACTTCCCAAAGTACTGCATCAATTTGAATTTTGTTTGAAAAGAGTGTATGCTCCACCCCCCTGGGGACAGAGGCGAGGCCCAAGAGGGGTATTGAAATTAATCTTTAAAAAATCCTTATGTTTCTGTACTTTGGAGGGATTTTAACCCATTAAAGGTTAATATATTTAAATCTTGATTATTACATTTTCATTCAATACAGAAGAAGATATCAGAACAAAATTTAATAAAAGAGTTTCCTTGGCCCAGTAGGAGTCTTGTTTAATATCGTTTAGTTGTGATGAAGTTTGGTATGAATTACCTATAATAGTTAATTAATTAGCATACTGTGCTCTGATTGGTCAATTTCCTAATAGAAGTTTTCGCATGATAAGTTGCTTAAATATTGTTTTTTTTTTATTAAAATTAGTATTCTTGTAAATTTATAGAAAGACAGGATCTAAATTTTAATTTGAGCAAAATCCACGCATAATTAGGGCCCCAATCGGAGATGCAGGTGCCCTATAGTAATCATCTGTCCACCTACACTTTCATTTCTGGACATATCAGAATTCAAAAGAATGATTTTCTGAAATTTGACATGGTGATGCACTGAAATATAGATGTACAATAGGGAATTAAAAAAATATAAGGTCAAGGTCCGTTATTAAAAATAGCTAATCTGGAATGTTGGAATATTTGAAAGACTTCTCTTTTTTAAGCTATTGTATGTACATACTTATAATCATGATTTGCTTTGTTTTTATTTCAAATCTCCAAATATGATATACTTTACATTATTGCAAATATGATGACACCTGGAAAAATTTAAGAAGTCTAAGTGTATGCTTATAATATTTCAATAATATAGTAAAAGTAATCAAAATATCACTACCAAAAATTAGAAATATCTTATTTTAATAATTTTGCTCTAATTTTTTTTCCAGTACCTAAACCTTGTAAAAAAAAAACAGAAACAGAAAAAAAGTGATGTTGATCAAAACTGGAAAAATGTGGAGGAGAGGAAAAACCTATGAACTGAATCAAAGTACTGAAAGGATTCAAACTGCAGACTGTGAAAGGGAATTTTATGTGCAGTATCGCACCTGACTGCCTTTAGGAACAATTGACAAAACAGAAAAAAAGTGATGTTGATCAAAACTGAAGGATATGATAGGGCTTCATTTGACTTTGAGGAAGCCCTACAAGACTCAGAAATGTGAAGGAAAGGAGAATCTATGAACTGAATCAAAGTACTGAAAGGATTCAAACTGCAGACTGTGAAAGGGAATTTTATGTGCAGTATCGCACCTGACTGCCTTTAGGAACAATGACAAAACAGAGAAAAAAAGTGATGTTGATGAAACTGAAGGATATGATAGGGCTTCATTTGACTTCGAGGAAGCCCTGCAAGCCTGGAAAAATGTGAAGGAGAGAAGAATCTACAAACTGAATCAAATTACTGAAAGTACAAATTTGTACATGTTTATGTTATGGGTTTTTTCTCTTATATATGTAGCTTGTTCTAGTACTTAGGTTAGGATAAGGCCACTAAGTGAGACAACACTGGCCAGCTGGTCAGAGCAATGGATAAACCTACCTCCCTGACCCATGTGGGAAGGTTGGGGCAGCCGGCTCGCAGCATCTTTTCATTTGTGTTCATTGTAACTTGTATATATATCATTTTCTTTTCTTGAATTTCTGTCTCTGTTTAACATTTTTGGTTGCTCACTCATTTAGGTAAGTTGTAATATTAAAGTCTTGTGTTTATCTTAACATTGTCTTTAAGCTCAGGTAAGTTGTATTATTAAAGTCTTGTGTTTATCTTAACATTGTCTTTAAGCTCAGGTAAGTTGTAATATTAAAGTGTTGTGTTTATCTTAACATTGTCTTTAAGCTCAGGTAAGTTGTAATATCAAGTCTTGTGTTTATCTTAACACTGTCTTTAAGCTCAGGTAAGTTGTGATATTATGTCTTGTGTTTATCTTAACATTGTCTTTAAGCTCCATCAGGTTCACCCCTTAAGTCGGGCATGTAATTCTGGGGAATTATACCCCCAATTATGTTTTTTGCTTACCTATGTTGTACATAATAACATACTTTATATTTGTTGTTATAATTGAAGTGAGCAGCCCCTTAGATTGTCAAAACTTAGTGTAAACTAGAACAAGTTACAGTAGCTTTATCTTTCATAAATAAATTTGTTTTATTTGTCTATATGCTGTTGTGTCATATGAACTTGATAAAATTGGTTCTAAAATCCAGTCCCGATTCAATGTTAACACCCGTCCCGTCGCATCCCGTCCCATCCCGATTCAATGTAAACACTTAGCAACTTCATTCTTTGACAGATTTTGGCTAAACTTTATACAAAGGTACAACCCTTCATAAAATGTGGGGGTATATAGTGTTGCCCATGTCGTCCTGTCCCGATTCAATGTAAACGCAATTTTATTCTTTCATGGATTTTGGTCAAACTTTATGCAAAGATCAAGTATGAGTATACTTCGGACATTGTTGTGTTTCAGGGTTCCAAGGTCAAGGCCAAGGTCACTGTTGCTAAATATAGAAAATCATCAACTGATTCAATTTAAACACTTCGCAACTTCATTCTTTCACGGATCATTCACAGATTTTGGTCAAACTTTATACGAAGGTCAAATATGGGTATACCTGAGCTGACATCAATGTGTTTCAGGGTTCCAAGGTCAAGGCCAAGGTCACACCTCTATATATAGAAAATCATCAACTGATTCAATTTAAACATTAAGCAACTTCCTTCTTTCATGGATTTTGGACAAACTTTATGCAAAGGTCAAGTATAAGTTTACTTCGGACATTGTTGTGTTTCAGGGTTCCAAGGTCAAGGCCAAGGTCACACTTGCTATTTATAGAAAATCATCAACTGATTCAGTTTAAACACTTTGTATAAAGGCCAAATATGGGTATACCTCAGACCTCCTTGTGTTTCAGGATGGTAAAAACATGAACATTAAAATCAACTTATCAACTTTTAAGTGTAGTACCTTGTGTGTGTGTGTGCAGGTTTCAGGGTATCAAGTTGAAAGTGGTTGTAACCTTTTATAGAACACTGAAACTAATTTCACATGGCAGCAGACATTTTCTAGTTTAGTTCGATTTTCACACTCTGGAATAAAACAGTTGTAAAATTAACAACATACTGAAGGTATTATCATTCAAGGTTATAATAACTTAACAATATGAATTTGTTACTTATTTCTACCGTACTGCGGCATCCGTTCTTCAACTTTTTCTTTAGAACGACTTCTGAAGAACTGGAGAACCTAGAGTCATGCTATGTAGACCAGCAGTGCAAATAGTTTTATCAATTACAGTAATTAAAGTTTCCTCATTAAGAACACCTTTAGATTTTTTTCTCATTTCTGAAAACTTATTACCTAGTGTAAATAAAACAAATATTGATCCAGGATACAGATCTGACCATTCTCTACCATTCATTATATATTAAAATTTAACGAATTTAAGAAGGGGAAAGGACAATGGAAATTTGACAATTCTTTTTTGCATGATTTAGACTATCTTGAAATTATAAAAAAACTATTTTAGACGTTAAAATCCAATATGCTCTTCCAGTCTATAATCCACACAATTTATCCAATGATCAGCTGCTTTTAGAAATATTATTAATAGAAATTAGAGGAAAAACTATTTTGTATGCTTCACATAAGAAAAAACAACAGAATAAAACAATTTAAAGGATATTATTAAACATTTAGAATCGGTTGAAAATATAAATATTGATTTTGATAAATTAAAGGAGAAAAAACAAGAATTAGAAAATATAAGATTACATAAACTAAGAGGTAGCATTATTAGATCTAAAGCTAAATGGGTTGAAGAGGGAGAAAAACCAACTAACTACTTTTTTAATTTCGAAAACAGAAATTATACTTCAAAAATAATTCCAAAAATAGAAAAAGAAAATTGGGATATAATAACTTATCAAAATGAGATACTTAAAGAAGTTAAATTATTTTAAGAGTCTTTATATACCAATGTTGATAATACATATGATGTTAATTTAGACAACTTTTTACATGACTTTCATGTTCCTAGACTGAATAATATAGAATCTTGATAGTTTAGAGGGCATTATAACTCTTAAAGAAGCATCACACACATTAAATAATATGAAAAATGGGAAAAGCCCTGGTTCTGATGGTTTTACGGTTGAATTTTTAAAATGTTTCTGGAAACAGCTGAATAACTTTATAGTGAGATCAATCAATTTTGGTTACACTAATGGGCAATTGTCAGTTACACAAAGACAGGGAATAATAACATGTATACCTAAAGGGGATACACCAAGACAGTTTCTAAAAAAAAGTGACCAATTTCTCTTCTGAATATTATGTATAAAATTCTGAATATTGGCAAGTGTGCAATTAACTTCTGATGATGAATAACTACTGTTCAATAAGTTTTAATACAGACTTAGAAATCATATTACTTGGTTTCACAGTGCGGTAAGAAGTTGCAGTTCCCTGACGCCCCTTTGGAAACCGTTTCCTGCCTAGTAAGGTGACTGACCGGCGCTATTTTTAGCAGGGCTTTCCCGAACAATTCAAGTGGTCAAACTGGACATTTGGAACAGACCATGAATATGGGGATAGCGAGGTAACATAAGTGGAAGTGCATACAATACATACATTCATTAAAAAAAATATGACTTTTCGCGTGATGTCCCTTTAATAAAAGTGACAATAGTATTTTTTTAATAATAAAACAGTATATATACAAGTCAAGATGTCTTTATCTATACAAGAAATTAAAAGTTGAATTAATGAACATTATTACAGTATTCAAATATATATTGCAAATATTAAAGACGAAATATATCTCATTAACTTCCAGATTAAGTGGAAAAAATGGAAAAGGCTTATTGATATTTCCTAGACCTACATTTTGCCAATTATATGTTTATATGTTTGATCTTATTTAAATTTATAAGAAAGAAAAAAACAAAATTGAAACATACAATGTATTCATCTTAATCACTTAGCTACTGACACCTATATATACCTGTCTTTATTTCTCTTATCTGATTTTCCTTCCTTTCTAATATAACATTACACAAAAAAATATCACTTACAAAAAGAGCAATGTTAATTAGTATGAAAGTATGTGTGAAAGTGGAATTCATTATGTATACTCAAATGTATGCTATTTTAATGTGAAAAATACTTCTAAGGTCACAGGGGTCAAATATGTTAATAAATTCAAACAACAATATCCTAAGAACCGTTTTGACTAGTCTTGATACTTGGGTATGTTATGTAGATCAGCTGTGCAATTTTTTTCTCTCAATTACAGTAATGAGGTCAAAGATAAACTTTAAGTGCTAGTCAGGGGTCAAAGGTCAATGTGGGTTAAAGCTTTAACAATCTTCTCAAGTTCCATTAGACCCAGGGTCATGATATTTGGCCAGTAGGTACCTGGGATGAAATGCTATAAATTTTCCTCTTTAAAATGATCTCTACCTACTTTCAAGGTCACAGGGGTATGTTATGTAGCTGTGTTATTTGTTTTCTATATTACAGTAATGAGGTCAAAAATCAACTTTAAGTACAAGTCAGTAGTCAAAGGTCAATGTGGGTTAAAAGCTTTAAAATTCAAATTTCAAATTTCAAACAATATCTTAAGAACCGTTTAAGAGATGGATAATGTTTCGTGTATTAGTAACCAAATTTGGTCTTAAGTTACATTATGTACCTTTATGTCATTTTCATGTAACAAAAGAAACAAGTGAGCGATACAGGCCCTCTAGGCCTCTTGTTAAAAATTAACAGCAGGAACCCATCTTTATTGGTAAACTGGAAAATAAATAAGAAAGAGAAGGAAATATTTAAGGACAATAAAATATGTATGTTTCAGGTACCTCAACCTAGTTTTTACCTTTTTTCAGTCATGTAACCTGAAATATACAAATTTTGTTTAGGAAACAGCTAAACACTGTCACTGTTTTTATTTTCTCCCTCT